TTAAAAAAAGAAGATCGTACGTAGTATTCTACATGATGGCATGGTTAGACCGATACGCCTTAAGCTCAACCCAAATGCGAGATGCTGTAATAATTTAAGACTGTTAATAAACTTTAATTACATTTAGTAATGAATAGTATAAATCTCCTTTCTTTAGTCAATTCTACATGTTTTCATTTTGCAAATTCCAGAAAATGAAAGCTTGTGTTTTTTATATGAGAACAAATATTGTTAAAAGGATTTGTATCTGACATGAAAAATTTGTTTCGACCATGTCCACTTTTTCGAGATATCTATGTGCTCCAAAACAGTAAATAAAAGAGCAAAGATAACGTATCAATGAATTTGGTATCATGTTCCTAGCATGCAAACCACGTATTAGGAAGTATAGGCTGCCCAAGTTTACTTCAAAGTCTAATAAATAACCATGTTTACTTAGTCGTACTTGGAATCCTAAAAGGGACCAAAATCATGAATGAATCCAACAATAAATATAGTTTTCTAAAATGATTTTTGGCTTGTTTCGGTAAGGTGGATCTTCAATGCAAATGTTACTAATAAAAACTTCCCTGTGCTTTTTTGGTTTATCTGCATAAAATGGAGAATCCAATCAAGCTTTTCAAATATAAAAAGCCCATGAATAAGCCATTTCAAATCTTAAGACAGACTTTAGCAAGCCGTCCCATGGTAATATCAGCCACCTCAATTCAAAGATGATCATTCCACAAGAGAACCTTGACAAAATGGAGGGGAGCGTTCACATGATCTATTGTTGTAAACAGCATTTTAAAAGACATTGAGCCCACTTAAGAACCACCTGAGCCAGCTTTAAAACAGTCTGGGGACCAGTCCGAGTCTCCCACAAAATTGGAGCAATCCACCCTATAAATCATGGTTTCAGAAGTATCATAAAAACATTGTTTTTAGATTAACTTGAGATCTCAAAAACCTTGTATAAATTCACCTAACCGGCTGAGCTGTCAGCCGATCTAAATCGAAATGGTGGGAGACCATCCAATTTTTAAAACACTGGCTATAAACGGCAACTGATGTTAGTTGTAACCTACATTTCACCATGCTACAGTGATCTTATACTTCCCCATAAACATCATCATCATCATCAACTATTTGGGGAAAATAGTGGGGCAAAATTTGCCAAAATGAGAATGAGAGAGAGAGAGAGAAGGGCCAAGTGCTCTACGCCACCCAAGCTCAATGTGTTCTCAATTAAATGTAACAAAACGCAGCACATGGCAGTAAAACAATAGATACACAAAACCCGTATACACCCTGCAACTAGAAAGAGCAAGAAAAAGCAAGACTAATCTGCGGTTTACATCTAAACAGCTCACAAATTTAAATCAAATATCAACAGTACTAGGAAACGAGAGCCCATGATGGAAATGTGTTTGGGTAGTGGCAGGGTGTGTTCGAGAAGTGGCATATTGCAATAATCAGAGAAGCGTAGCAGCACAACCTCTGATCCACATTTACAGGGAGGGCTCACGTCCTATGGGCTCCTCTGAAGTATGTGTATACTTGCTGCTCGACACAAACAAAAAATTCCACCCACGTTAAGGGGTGAGAGTGCAAAAGCTGCCTAACACAAGCAAAAAATTCCATCCACCCTATGGGGAGAGTAAAAATGTGTTTGATGTCTCTTTTTCTTTTATCTTTTGTTGGGGGCAAGGGGGAGTTTCTCATGTGTATTTGTGCATGAGAGAGAGAGTTTTGATGTGTGTGCATGAACGTGCATCCGAGAGAGTAAAAACAGACAAGAGAAACGGAGTAGAATATATGAGAAAGGCCAAAGCATTTGACTCACAATTGAAGCTGAATATAAACGAATGCTAAAGCCAGTAAAGGTAAGCAAAGCAAAAAAAAAAACACTAGGAAAAAAATTTAAATGAGGTTCTGTTTAAATGTTCTCTTCTTCTAATATCCATCCTTTTTTTAAAAAAAAAAAAAACCTTCTAAAATCCATCTTAGAGATGGATTTAGAGTCTAGAATACAAAGCACATCCTAGGTCCCACTTTAGATGAATTTCTCTCGGATTAGTGATCTTACAACACAAGAAATTGTGCAAATATCATGATCTGCAAAGAATTAAAATGAATAACGATTGAACTCCAAAAACAAAGTTTAAAATAGTCTATTGAAGTTCAAAATCCTTCTCTCTTTTTTCGTTTTTCAAATTCATGACCGTAGTAATCGACATTATCAAGCAATACAATTTTAGGTCTGAAATCCATATCTAAGACGGTTTTTTGGAGGACAACACATTTGAATAGGTGTGCCAGCTGACACACCCAAACCCCATCCAAAAACTAAAATCAGGATTATTCTTCAATTGGTGATTTCTAAATCGTAAACTACATGGGACTTTTATCATTATGTGAATATATTCCAAAATATAGGAAAGTGACAGTCACTAATTCCAAAATTGGGGAGAGAAGGGGGAATTCCCATGCTAACCTGAAGTACCCAAATGCTTAGCAGCGCCTCACAACAGAAGAGTCCAAACCCAACCAAGTAGAAAATCTGAGAGTGAAAAAAGGAAATTCGAAGGAAAAAATTAATGTTATCTCAAATAGGAAAAGAAGAGAGAGAGAGAGAGAGAGAGAGAGAGAGTTACGTTA